TCTCCAAAGCTCCGCTAGGAGCAGAGAGCGTTGCGCCTAATGTCTTCACTATCTCATCAATCCATGGCTGGTGGCGCTCAATCCAGACCGTTTTATAAATGCAATCATTTGTCAAGCCAAAATCAAATAATAGACCGCGTTTAATCTAGTCAAAAATGAAAAAAAACTAGAACCTACGTTCACAGGAGATTCGGGCAAAGCGACCAGAGTTCCTATCGCTAAGAGAGTAGTGATCAAATCAACAAATTGTGCCTTAAGCTCCTCAGAATATCGTTGATCCTTACAGGGCAAAAACACCCGACGTAAAGGGGCGCCTTGGAATTGATTAAAATTTGACCAGAGTTTCTCAAAGCTCTTGATGTTCACGTTACGGAACGACAAGACTGGATTTTGTCTCCGCTCCACATGGTAGTTAACGTCAATCTCTGGGATAAGAAATGATCGCCACTAAATCCTAGAGGATCCACAGAGCCTAGTTCTCCCCCATCAAGGCACCCCGCGCCTATTAGGTGCAGCGGAGCCACACAGCTCATTAGGATAGAGGAAGAGTTAACGCTTAACGGGAAACTTAGCTCTAACGAACTTGACTCAATGAGTCTACAATCCTAGAGCCTTTGGCTCTTGTTCCAGGGGACCAAACGATTTAGTAAATTTACAGCACTTAGTGCTTAAGCGTTACTATCTGGGTCAGGGAGGTGTTGCTAACTCTTAGTGATCACTGATTAACGACCAAAGACGCCTCGCAAGACACGTGTCTTTAAGATCAAAAGGGAGTTGAAGTTAATTTACATTTACACCTGTAGAATATCTTAAATTCAATATTACCTAATCTAGACACTAATTTCATAAGCTAGTACAACTAAGATCTCTCCTGTCTGGTGGCTGACACCAGTCAGCCCCTTTAAACCAAAAAGATATCCTATATCTCATTCAGTAGGATATCATCCTGTGTCTAAGACACAGGGTACCAGGTACCCAACTACGTGTAATTCTTTTACACTATGGTCGGAGTTTTCCCGTGGTATACCAGACTTCTGTCTAGAGACGGAAGTTCGGCTCGAAGAAGCCTGGTTTTCCTTACGCAAAGGATAATTGGGGCTTAAATGCTTTGCACTTCCGCTCGTGAAATATCGGCGAATGTTACAATGTTGTTCCACAGGTCGAAGATCCTTTTCTACTTCTAGGCGAGACAGAGGTTCTTAAGCTCCGGAGTTTTGTAGAAAAGTTTCGATTACAGCTAGTTTGAATTGTTCCATTGATGCCATAATGGACTGCCTGTAAGTTAAATTTGGTGATTAACGCAACATCTAAAGCCGCTCGATGGAAGTGGGATGCACCCAAAATACTCCTTTCAAGCTACACCAGTACGTATACCCTCCATTAAAATGTTTACAAGAACTGGTAAAAGATCAAGCTGCATGAAAGCAATAAAAGTTCTAAATTCTCGGACATAGTCTGACAGCTCTTTCTTGCCCTGGCGGGCTTAAAAAAAGCAAGTGCGCACGCGATATGCCTCGTTACGTGAAGCAAAAACCCAGTATATCTATGTACCAGCAGGGTACATGTGGGGAAAGATTCGTCTACAGACGTGCTACACATGAAAGCCCACGCTCTATCTCGATCACCTAATTTTGAGGCGGACAAACTAGCTCGCTGTTGACCCAATTGGAGCATGGCTAGATCGTGGCCATTTCCACTTTAGACTAATAAAATAATTGCTTACCCCTTTTCCCCCTAAACTTCTTAACGCTCAAGACGAGTGGGTGATAATTAGACTCTTATTCAGTTATCGAAATTTACCGAGTAGGCATAGCCGATGACAAGTGTCATGTACTTGCATAATTATAGTAGACTAAAATACATGGAAGCATCATGACGTGCACGAATCACGTCTGGACCTTGTGTAGATTTAAGTACACTTGTGCATTCCCAGCAACACTCACAGTCTATATAGCGCTATTCGTTGGGCCTCGTAGAGGTTGACCTTTGTTTTTACCTTTAAGGAGTATTAGTCTTGAAAAGACTCAGGTGTAGATTGACTACGAGGGCTACCAAGTGTTGCGGAGCTACCCTTGACCCTTCTACAGAGGAAGAATTATATACTTGTTGAGTCTATTACGGTATTAAAATGAGCAAGCGTAAACCAATGGAGTCTCAATTGTCTAACGACTTAATGAGAATCCACTCTAGGTATCTAAACAAGCTCGCGATCTTCTAGCTTTGCTTAGAGGAACAACACTACTAAAGAATCAATTAGCACTAATTTCCAAGAGTACTCGCCTCGATGCAGGATCTTAAGTCTTACGATTTAAGATATCTTAGCAATGCACGTGTCTTTAAATGATCAAAAGGAGGACTGTGTTTATTATCTAATTTATAGTGATAATAAAGCTCACCTTTGTACTTAACCTTCAATCTATAATGCCTAATCCAGGAATCCTAATTTATGTTCTCCTGGTGTTAACACATCAGATCAGCGACATCCTTACAATGCATTTCACGATAGATACCATCATCCGTTACGGGTTAGATACGGTATTACCGCTTTGCGTAGTGGGTACAACAATACGCCTAACAAGTCTCATCAATATAAATACGTGTTGATCACGCGTCACCATAACGGTGTACCAACCGTTTGCGTGACCTCTTTTACACCGAGCGTCGATAGCGCGCAAATGACAGCAAGCGACTACAATCAGTTCGCCGAATCTTGACCTGCAGAGACTGCAAAGTAAACTATGCGTATCAAGGAATAGACTACCAATATTTTGAGTAATAATTTCTTGTATGGGCTGACAGACATGCAGGACTGTATTGCTCGCCTGAAACTGTATCAGCTCAAGCGAGACGATGACGACGTATGAATGTTAGGAATTAGATTGAACTCGTTTCCGTCTAATTTGGAAGAGCATTTGGACCGTCACGTATGAAGATGAATGCACTTTTGCACACGCCTTCCCTTTTAGGCTACAGTACCAAGAGTCCCATCATGCGAGATTTTATGTACCTGTTGCATCAACAATACGTCGATATGATGCAGAATCAAGCCATATATCCGCGTATGATACTGCTTCGAGCAAAACCATTAGCAAACTGCAGTCCACATCCGGTTTGGGTAATATAGATACTCGACGAGGAAAGCTGTCTCTTCATTCATTCGATGAAAAGGAGCTCTGGGCGAGGATGATATCGTGTTTTATGGACTTCCGCCGTTGCTTCGTTTAGAAGCTTGGGCTAGCTGAGATGGAGTACGTTTTGATTGGTCTGAACGAATTAAGGCAGTGCTTAGATGCACCGCAGAGCGGTATTCCAACCAACAGTAAGAGAAATAGTTGTAGCAGCAGCAGCAGGACCTGAAGCTGCATCATGTCATGGATAGACCGCACGAACAATCGATTCGTGCATTACTAAAGCAAAGGGAACAAAGCTCTAACGTTTAAACAAGGACCATAAGCCATCCACGTTCAAGGAATTGATTAAATTTTCTTTCAAGATATTTCGTGTAATCGGGAATAAAAACCTTGTAAGAATGGATAGTTATTCTGATTGGAAAACTAAATAAATTAAAGTCTATCTGATTCAAGCTTCCTCATCTTTCTTCGGAAAAAGACCATCACCGTTGTAAGTCTTCGTAGCCCCCCCCTCTTGTGCTGAATCTTCACCTAGCTACGTCGCAACTGGATCATAAGGTAATGGAAGACTGGTCAAGGCCAATGGCAGATCTGTATTACCGATCGTTGTCGAGCATGTTGAAGTCACGGAGTGCACATGAGTTGTTCTCGCCTATATTCTTGTGTACATTATATTGTAGGGTCTGTCACTGTCCACCCGATCGATAAATGCTAATCGCACCTACTGTAGAAGGAAGTACTCACGAAGGAGAAAGCGCGTAGGGCGAAGTGATGATCAGCGATCAAAAATCGATGAGAGATGTAGGGACATCGGTACACAGTGACCGAACTCACCGCAATGGGAAGCCTAGTTGCTATGGCTGCAAATGCAAATTTACGTGCGCGAATCAGCATCGTAATATAATAGGATTCTGCTGACACCTGCATTCTTTTCAGTCTCTCGTTTAGTCTTGTTCTCAGTACCGAGATGATAAGCAAGTCGACCGACTACCGCGCACGCACGTTAGTTTCCAGATGATTCCAGATTCAAAAGTGTAAGGAACCAGTGCCAAGTAACGTATTTTTTTAATGCTGTAATGTTTACAATCGATAGCTCTGCTCATCGTCAGCGTTGCTGCACTTGCAATGACATACGTGGTGTGCTTTGCCGTGTGCACGAGCGATCGCGTGCCACATTTGATCGCCTATTCACTTGTTGCATGATACATACCTCAATGGAACTAGTCTTCGTCTTAGTGATCTTAGTGAAAGTCGCTGTTGATCTCGATTTTGCGTTCCTCTATACGCTGACAACCTGATCGTGTTTTCAAAACAGTAAACCCTTACTTCTAGCCGTTCAGTAGCTTCAATAATTATTGTCTTGAGACCAAGAAACAATCACTGGAATAAAGAGAAACGAGCAGCGCGCCTTGCTAACACTGCCATCAAATGAGCTTCCACGAAAGGCCGTGGGGTCGCTCGTACGTTCCTACTCATCCACCGTACATCCACTTAAACGCAGTGCCGCCTTCTACCTCGTCACCTGCTGCAACAAAGCCAATTCTTGTGATCATAGTGACATCCTGTCCAGTGCACTACCCTGCTGATCTTCCACCCTGTTCCCAAGACCGCATATTCCTCGCGATCTCACCAATCTATTTACTTTCTCATGGTCTCCGTTACACGTCGATTCAGACTCAAAGTCTAAAGTAACAGACGCGGGTATGGAACAACAGGTCCTACCGCAATCACCGATCGTCGCCCATCCCATTTTCAACGTCCTTTTTTGTAACCCACAAGTCCTGATCCTCGTTCATCGCCGCACCTAAGCCGAACATAACCGAACACACCATCTCCCAGCCACCCACCTATCTTTGCACTCCCGTCGTCATGGCTTCAGGTGCTCCTCCACCACCCGTAGAGCTCCGTAACCTCAATTTTGCCTTCACGGTGGACCAATCGCAGCAGACGTCCAATGCAAATGTACCCATTCGTAATCCCGACCGTCGTGTCCTTCGTGACGTGACGCTAACGTTACCACCTGGTGAGCGGGTCCTTGTTGTGGGTGGCAATGGCGCCGGGAAGAGCACGTTGCTCCGTATTTTAGCTGGTCGTCACTTGACGGCTTTTGATACGGCGCTCGTCTTTGGTCGCGATAGTTTTCGGGACACGACACTTAACGCCCATAGGACGTTCGTTAGTAGTGAGTGGGGCCATCGTTCAGTCGCTTTCATGTCGCATGCCATGGCCTACTCGGCTGATATGGCAGTAGCTGAGATGATGGTCCAACTCCAGACCGCGTATGCCGAAAGACGGGAGAAGCTCCTCAAGGTACTTCGGGTGGACCCCACGTGGCGTCTCCATCGATTATCAGATGGACAGCGACGCCGGGTCCAGCTGTTTTTGGCGCTCTTGCGCCCGTCTCAGCTCATTGTCCTCGACGAGATCTTGGGCACGCTGGACATTGTCGTGCGTGAAAACGTCCTGACGTTCTTGAAAGAAGAGACGGACACGAGACGGGCGACGGTCTTGCTGGCGACGCACATTTTTGATGGCACGGACGTCTGGGCCTCCACCGTGCTGTACATTCGACGGGGTACAGTGGGTTTCTACGGCCCGATTCAAGCGTGCTCAGACGATCGGAAGGTACCGATGTACAAGGTCGTGGAACACTGGCTGCGAGAAGAATTGGCAGAAGATGATCGCGTTGAGAGCGAAGCGGTTGGCGAAGGTGGTCAACTAGACTTGGCCAACGCCCAGAATCGTGCTGGCGGATACGCGCCTGGACGCTTGGGCGGCGTTGACATTGACACGTTGTAAAGACTGAAGTATGATGTATGGTGCAGTTTACCTGCATTTCGGATCTTCGCGTTAGTGGAAATGATCTTGAACTTCGGTTTGTTTGCTAAGTTTGCTGGTATGGAAGAGATAAATAAATGAACTCAATGATCGCTTTCGGCTCGATTGATCGTATGCAATTAGCCGTCTGACTGTCGAGCAGCTTCAATCTTTTTGGGGTCTTTTCAGTATAATTTTTTTATGTGTAGGAATCGCAGCACATTCCTCCGACAGGCTACCGTGCGTATACATTGCTGTATGCACGTCGCAGTAACTACAAAGTCCTGTAAGGCAAGAAAGCTATGCAAGAATTGCTGACCTCGTACTACTTTTCCGGTTTTGCGTACACATCTTCAATTCGTATTCAGCACTTGATTTTTTGCTGGCAACTATACTGTAAAGCCGCAGTTAAAAGGCTGTAAATGGAATGATCGTCGATGAAGGTATTGGAATGGCAGGCGCTAGTCAAAGAGAAGTCAAGGTGGCTGGGCGCGACATGTGATGTTTCGGCACGGGGAAAAGGGAGGGCGTTGATCGAATGGTGTAAAGCTGCTGCATTCGTATCCAAGTGGATCAAAAGAAGGATCCTCTCAGTGTACTCATGCGATCGTCCGTGTTAACAAAGGGTAAACAAATGATACTGCTATTCGTTTCATCGGTTACGAGACGGTATTCTGTGCCGCTTGGCTTTTAAACTTTGTTCGCCGTGAACTTTGTGTGTTCTCCAGCAGAATGGAGATCCATGGCCACCAAACAAATATGCTTTTGTGCAAGTCGGAAAGCAAAAACTTCAACAACGATGTGAATATTCAGGAGTAGAATGATCTTGTCGTCAGCATCGATGTGTGACTACCTATTGTGCATGGTCGTACAGAGAACACAAGTTTGAACGAGTGTAACAAACTGTATTATTTTCAGTTAGTCTGTCAGCATACGCGAGCTCTCAAAGATACAGTGTCCCGCTACGAGTACGTCTGATGCAGCATTCGATACTGAAGCGACGCCATGGAAGGACACATCGCTTGGTGTGATTCTGTGGAAAAGGCCCATTCAAAACGACTGACTTCTCTGTGGTTATTAGTTGTTGAAAACATGGTTGATTCTCGGAAGGATAAGTATCCAAATGTGCAACATGTCTTCGCTACAAAATAGCGCAGCTTGAATACGTATGCAAACGTGAGGATGCCAAAGGCTGACACGGTTCTCGTGTGCGTAAAGACGCGAACGCAGGCATGTGGCAAAAGTGACATTTCAGCTTTCATATTTGAGCCAAAAGTCCTATCTCCGAATATTTCTGGCAAAACTGCTTATTTCTGCGTGGGGGATTACGTATCTGAATATGTAGAACCTCTGATGTTGCTCGAAATGGACAAGTATTTATTCTGACAATTACGTTCAGCGGGCTTGAACGCACTCACCCGCCAGCATAGCAGCAGCAATACAAAACACACGTTTGGTACCACGCATTTTTATTGGCAGCACGCTGTCCACCCTCTCACTGCCACCATACGTGCGTTCGCATTACGTCGATTGGATGTACCATTGAGCATACTTGCCCGCATGCGTCGGCATAGTTCCTTTGAGCATGTTGTCACAAAAAATGTTACGACGCGCCGGCGCAATTAGTCAAGAGCGATCTTGAAACTCGTACGGGACCTCGTGTTTGCAGTGATCTGCCTCGTGAGCAACAAACTACGAAAGTGCTCGGAGAAGCATACTATCTACTGGGATGTTCATAGACAGCGCGCATTTATGTTCGCGTCTGAAACTTCTAAATTCCCATACTGAAGTTGTCAGAGAAGGAGCGCGTGACTACCTGCTTTTGTGTCTATGCGATGATAAACTACTTTCTCTTTATCACTGTGATCGCAGTGCAGTTACATTCAGGAGTACAAGATCAATAGCAGCGGTCGTCACGTTCGACTCGACATTGTGGTCAATCGACGCGTTATGTATCCACTCGAACGAATTGCTACAAGAACGACTCCTGCTTCTGCTTTGTGTAACAGGCGCTGGCGTAAGATCGACACCGAAACCTACGACAGAGTGTCTGATCTCTACCAATTTTACCAAACCGAAGTCTGATTCTGCCTCGAGCACGGCCGAGTCAATCTTGAGCACTATTTTGTGCTGAAGAGGAATGAAAAGGTTGATTCTCTACGCGTCGGTACTGCTCTTCAAACGGGACGCGGAATGATGTGCAACCAAATCTCGTATTGAACATCAGGGTGTGTACAACCCCACTGATGTTCAATACGAGACTTTGTACCAAAGTGCTAGCTGAAGGTAGCTTGTGCCAGAACAGGAATAGCTACACACGGTGCACCGGACCACACTTTATCCGGAAATTGACACAGGCCACTCGCAGCAAATCGTGGGTGAAATGGCCAGGTCCAGTGCAGATCTTCATGACCAGAGTGTCACTCTCGCCGTTCTCCTGTGATGTGTTCCGGTGATGCAGGGTGCGTAAGACGATCTCATTCGCAGACCAAAAAAATGAACAGGATGAGCGTGGCACTCATACGCGGCTCTACTAACTTCCATCTCATCTTTGTTTATGACCCGCTTTGCTTTCGATTAATGCATGCTTGAGCTCAGGTTCGCAATATGCAGACGTAGCAAGTGTGTGTACACAGAAGGATGGAATCCTTCTTTCACAGAATTAGAGCCGCACTACGCACAATGTAATATCGATAGATATCAGAGCACCTGGCTACGGCTTTATCGGACATCGCGGACCCCATTGATGTCTTGAAGTGTCGACCCCCTATATTTGCGCCAGAAGGCAGTATGTGTAAGGCTTAAATTTCCTAAGGGTGCATTGCTGTTCATAGTTGCAAATCATTTGCACCTCGAGACCGCGTGTCGTCGGTGAAAGGTACAGATGTAGCGAGTAGCATAGAAACCATCCAGCTGTACAGCTTGACGTGTCCACCTCCTGTTGTCCACATGGCTTTTTTAGTCAGCACCGCTGATGTGCCCCACGAAATTTCGTTGTGCTAGCAGATGACTGCTAGTAGGCTACATCGACTTAGCTTTCTGTGGGGCTGCCTTGTTACTAAGATGTACCTTTGTAGCATCGTACCACCGCTTCTGTAGTATAAGGCCCCGCATTTCGTCCCCGCCGTCCCTTTCCGTCTTGCTACTGAAATGGATCAGCTTTGTACTTGTGATTTGCGGTACCACGGTTGACAAGCGGGATCATGAGTACAAGTTGAGGAGAGCAACAGGCCTTCCGTAGAGGCATTAGCAACAAAAACATGAGTAGACAACCGTCGCCGCTATCCCGTCTCGTTCTCGTTCCAAAGAACAAGCGCTGGTCTCAGCATCCGCGTTTGCAATCGTGACGCGGCTGGCATGCAAGCAGGACCCATCACCCTTTTCTGCAAATTGCCCTGCCGTCCGTCGGTCGTCCAGCAGATGTTCAAAATGGAGTTCGGCGACTTGAAAGACGTGTATCTCCGTTTCTCAGTCAGCTATTTGCATCCACAGACACATCCGTACACTCGAGATCGTATCCTCAATTGCATACTACAACAACCTCCAAGATGATCCGGTCAGCAGCAGCACTCCTTCTTTTGGCAGCCGTCGCTAGCGTCCCCAACACACACGCTATTGACTGGACGTTTTGGAACGACGACGACGACTCATCCGATTCGACTGAGTCAAGCACGAGTCCCGAGACGTTATCACCTGAAACTCTTACGAGTATGATGGGGCCCGACTACATGGACCGCGTCAAGTCCTTGATTTCGTCGGGGCACGTGTCAGACTCGTCATCTACGATGACTGCTTCAACCACGGACCCCTTACTCCCTTTATCCGTGGAAACCCCACCTCCATCTCACATGCTTTTAGGTTCGTCTTTCGCAAATTTAAAGGCACCAGAGGAGAGTGTCCTTGCTACACCTTCGACAGCCGTGCGTACGTTCCAATCCACACAACGTAACTGGGTGGGGATCTGGAGTCAATCCGCAGACTCGGCCTGTTACCGGGAAGCTCACTTTATGAAAACCTGTCCGAGCAACTACGATCGCAACGAGTTCACGGATACGTGCTGGACGGAGTGTCCGTTGGCTTACCCTGTCGAATGTGGTATGCAGTGCATCCAGCAAGACAATGACTGCGAGCGTGAAGGCATTGCCAAGATATCAGCTGTAGCGATGTCCGCCTTGAGTATGGCTACTTTCGGGGTGTTCGGCGAGCTAGCCAAGATGGGGAAGAAGGTGGGGTGGGCTGTTCGGTGCGCCAACATGCTGCTGACAGCGACGAGAGCTATCATTCGTTTCACACGTAACCAAATGGTACTTGACCCATAAACATCTCGGGAAAAGCTTCTGCTACTGCTATACCAGACGAATTGGGTCGTCGCAGACTTGCCGGCAACCATCTACGCCTGCATGGGCAAGAATGTGCCTCCGCGCCTTCAATTAGCTCGAGGTCTACTACCTACCGTCCAGTACATCCTCCTGCTGGTACTTAGTTATAATGACGACATTGTTTCGACATGGGGCTCATTCAAGGCTTTCATGACGAGGGCCAACTTCACGGAAGCTGCCAGTGAAATCACAAAGGGTGAGATCTCAAGCCTGGAAACCGCGATGGAGTCAACAGCGACCTGTAGCGAAGACTTGAGGTCGGCGCTGAACCTAGTGTGGATGACAATCAACGAGTACAGGGAGAAAGATCCTGGCATCAGTGAAGCAAACATTCGTCTCCGAATCAGTCAGTCGGACCTCATGTTGTACGACATTCCTATCGTGACCAACAACTGTATGAGTCAAATGACCTCTGAGTCGACGGTGGCCACTGCGTACAAAACGCGCGAGACGCTTCGCAAAACCTTTGGCGTTGTAATCAGCGACCTCATCAAGGATGGCAAGAGTGACAATGGAACATCCATGGTGACAAAACACAACGCTTACGTGCTGCTGGACGACGTGCTCACACTAGCATCAGTCACCGGTCTAGAGCCCACCGACCTGTCAACTTTAGCTTCGGAGTTTCTCGAGACGATGTGTGGCCCAACGCAGTTCATGGGTGAGATAGACGACGGCACGGACGATGCTACCCTGGGCATGAACGCGCTGAAGAAGGCCTTCAAGAACACTACGAGCTCTTGGACTAGGAAGGGTGATGGCAAGGTCATCATCAACTTTACGAGCAAGGACTATGAAGATGTGACGGTGAACATCAGATCCGGTGGTGACAAAATTGATGAAGTGAGGGTACGAGCTGGAGCCAAAGCTCAGTGGACGTCAACCGTCAACGACTTGGGTGGCAAGACCTTGTATTTGGACCGCTGGCGTCCTGGAATTTTGGGCCTTCCTGGTACAGGAGGTGGTTCACTGGTACTATGGGTACCCATTGCACGTGACGGGGGCCACTTGGAGATCAATGCCCAGTTGAATGTTAGTTAGAGAGCTACAGTGCTTCTGTCGCCGTGGTCGAAAGGTGATGGAATCGTTGTTGTGAGTTGTCACAGCTGTAAGAATACCATTATGCTATCGTATCCAACGCATGGAGTTTTCAAACCTATTGCTTTTCAGCAACATCGAACGCGGCATACGCACCAACTTCCTTTTGTTGTTAGATTGTTTGGCCGATTGTACGATAAGTGCCCCTATGCCGATGGAACAAGCTGGCAAGCGGATGACAGCAGTGATTATCGATTTCCATATCGGCGTCGGCGCGATTAACATCGACTTCATGTAGTTAGTTTGCACACGAGCACACGATAGCTCAAACGAGTAGGATAAAAAATCGGAAATAAAAATGCCCTAATTAATCATGAAAATAAAAGATGCTCCAGATAATCGCGAGAATAAAATGATGCCGTAGATAATCGGTAAATAAACAAATGGTTCTTTTAATGAAGAAAATAAAAAATGCCCCACGTCCTCGAATACTCTCGTTAACGTGGTCCACAAAAAAGGCACACTCTATCCCATTTCTCACTTTCCTGTAAATGGCCGTGCTGAACCCCCCACGCTGCATGCGGTGCCACGCAGGGGATTCTGCCGCGGGCGTGCTACTTGAATACGATACTTCTCACGGGTCGTCAAAACTGAGGGAGTGAACTGCAATACCTGTTGCAGGTAAGTTTCGAACTCACCTGATTAATTGTTATTCTGGCACCTTGATAGGTGGGACACGGAAAGACGGACACCACGTCGGGACGACAAGGTAGTGGAGCGAGTGCGACCAGGCGATGCATATGGCATGTGGATCGGCGCATGGTGACACACGGACTGGACGTGCGCCATCAGCAACTTGCCAGGTCAAGTTGCACTGCCGATAAAAAGACATGTAGGGTAGTGTAAACGAACAAAGTTAACACTGAACAATATCACTTTTACGTTCAACTACTCTTGCAAAAGTGCAAGAAAAACAAATCTCTTTCTACAAGTGCTGCGCTCGTATCCACTAGTTGCGGCCGAAGAATGTACAGGTAATAGGTGAACGCGTCTAGGTATCGTTGGCCACGGCCGTAAATGCAGACAATCGAAATTGATGCTATTTGAATTTACAGTGTTGTTTTGATCATCGTTTTTGTGATCGTTAGTACTGTTTTCTCATGTTACATTTGATGTCATCGTTATCGTAAATATATTCAGTTGCTGCTGCTTTATTTTAGTGTCGTTGTTGCTGCAACCGCTGTGGCTGTATCCGCTGTCGTTAATAATGCAAGTAATCGTGTGTTCCTGTTGCTTTGATACCGCTGCTACTAAAGTTGGTGTTGGTGCTGCTGATGTCGTTGCTATTGGTACTGCTGTTAGTGTTCGTGGTGTTACTACTGTTTTGTGTTGTTGTTACTATCACAGTGCTGCTGTTATCTTCGTTTAGTTGAGGATAGGAATACGTTTACTGATCGTACGCTATAGTTACTTGAGCTTTGTTGATCATTTAATAGACTATCACGAAATCATTCTATCTGCTTAACTCTTTTTTATTAATTCAAAAAGGCTTTACCAGCGCTACTGGCGACATTTCAGTGCTGTTACAGGCATACTTGTCGGTGTTGTTAATAATCTTTTAAACTTTGAGGACGTGGACGTGGAGAGCTCAATAGGTAATGAAAACACACACAAGACATTCGATCTGGTCGGAGTGTTGACACACTCCAACATACATGTCTTAGCATAAAGAAATACATACAATCTGTATTGAAACGTACGATACGGACTTCAACAAGAATTTATCGGACTGTATCCACCGGCACTTGGCATGCGACTATCTAATAGTAAAAACCGGTGCTACATCACCTGCTGCGTTGTTTGATGTGCTGCAAAACTACTTTTCGCATACTAAAATCGTAAATTGGTAGTAATTGGTGGCGCTTCTAATTGTTGAGGACCTACACACCCACTAGATTCGACCTCAGTTTTCTCTAAGGCACATAGTTTGCTCCGTTTTGCATGTTGCGAATATGCATTGACGTAATATAGCGTTGATACGCGAGCATAGCATACGTCCACTTTGTCACGGTGAATATCCGCGTGACCGTATCCAAGGACTCATCTGTTTTGAAAAGCCAGACGTATCAGCATAGAGCGTATGATGATTATTTATATTAGGTCAAGCCCTACATCGAAGCACTACGTCGTAACATGTGTACCACGTTAACTAGAATATTTGAGGACGTGGAGTAATTTTTATTTTTTAATTATCTGGGGCATTTTTTATTTTTTAATTATCCGTGGCATTATCTTATTTTCCAACTATCTATGGCAATTTTGTTATTTTCGTGATCAAATGGGGCATTTTTAATACCCCAATTTCTAATTTACTGATTTTTCCATTTCACAAAAAGAAATTTTGAAGTTCGCGCAACTCCGTTCTCAGCTACTTCATTGAATTCATCTTCGCCGAGCCTTTGAGTTATCCGAGGAACGACTGTAGGTACATTTAGTAAAACCTGTTACCGAGAAATTTACACTTATCTACGGCAAAGATATCGATGTCTGCCTGACTGGAGCAAGCGGACGTGGAGCTTGTGCTACATAGCTTTATTAAACTTGTTTTATACAGCACGATATCGTGCACAGCAGACAAATGGAGGATCACTGCTCAGGACAATGTTGTGTTTGAAAATTGAAGCGACCAAATAAGCCTGAAAAGATCTGCTATGCTGCCAAGTTCATGGCACATTTAAGATAAAACCAACATGGTGTGTCGTGATTTCGGGAAGGTTTGAGTGACGTAGACAAGTCCGCAAAATTCGCAAAATTGTGACGGAACTGCGTTAAGGCGGCCGGTGGGTAGATGCTCACTAAAGCAGATCATTTAGTTACGAGCTAGGATGTGGACAATTTGTGTAGTAGAGAACAAAGTATCATTCTACACAAATCGATTGTGTGATGATGTGCTGCTTGCGCAATTGCTCAACTGGTTCTTGCAGTCGATGCACGTGCGCGAGATAGAAATGACATGCAGGCCAAACGGTTCGTACTGAAGAGCTAAGCATATTCTTTAGTAGCTCTTATGTGACTAATGCAACGAATGAGTTTTCACTAATGGTCGGCGGGGAAGAGCTTGCATAACCGCTTTGTCATTTGCACTCCTCGTGCATCTATCGCCCAGTCTTAGTGTAGTGTCACCATTATCGACCAAAAGAAACAGTGGCATCGATTCTGCAACAGCAAAGAAAGTTCAATGTGGTTGGTACATTGGCAGAATGAACTAACCATCACTATGTATAGGCAACTTGACGCCCCATGTCCATCACAGTAAGACGCTTCCGTGCGTCAGGTGATGTGCTTCCACTCCGCTTAGTTCGACAGCAAAGCGGGTCGTAAACAAAGATGAGATGGAAGTTAGTAGAGCCGCGTATGAGTGCCACGCTCATCCTGTTCATTTTTGGTCCGCGAATGAGATCATCTTACGCACCCTGCATCACCGGAACACATCACAGGAGAACGGCGAGAGTGACACTCTGGTCATGAAGATCTGCACTGGACCTGGCCATTTCACCCACGATTTGCTGCGAGTGGCCTGTGTCAATTTCCGGATAAAGTGTGGTCCGTTGCACCGTGTATAGCTATTCCTGTCCTGGCACAAGCTACCTTCAGCTAGCACTTTGATACAAAGCCTTGTATTAAACACCAGTGGGGGTTGTTACACCCCCTGATGCTCAATACGAGATTTTGTTGCACATCATTCCGCGTCCCGTTTGAAGAGCAGTACCGACGCGTAGAGAATCAACCTTTTCATTCCACTTCAGCACAAATAGTGCTCAAGATCGATTCGGCCGTGCTCGAGGCAGAACCAGACATCGGTTTGGTAAAATTGGTAGAGATCAGACACTCTGTCGTAGGTTTCGGTGTCGATCTTACGCCAGCGCCTGTTACACAAAGCAGAAGCAGGAGTCGTTCTTGTAGCAATTCGTTCGAGTGGATACATAACGCGTCGATTGACCACAATGTCGAGTCCAACGTGACGACCGCTGCTATTAATCTGGTACTCCTGAATGTAACTGCACTGCGATCAGAGTGATAAAGAGAAAGTAATTTATCATCGCGTAGACACAAAAGCAGGTAGTCACGCGTTCCTTCTCTGACAACCTCAGTATGGGAATTAGAATGTTCAGACGCGAGCATAAATGCGCGCTGTCGATGAACATCCGAGTAGATAATATGCTTCTTCGAGCAAATTACAACTCTCAGCTCGCAAGCCAGATCACTGCGGACACGACGCTGATATCAATTTAAATTTCGCTCTTCACTTATTGTGTCGGCGCGTCTTAATATTTCGAAACAGCATGCCTCAAACGAAGCTCTGTGGTTGCATGTAGACAAGCACGCTCAATGACACACGAAAACCCGACGATATGCATATCGGCCGCGTCGACTACGAATGCAACGTGGATAGTACGATCCAGACAGACAAATGGCTTTAAGCTGCAAGGCTGAATGATTTCCAGTCTACTCTCTATATATGTACCTCTCGTCGTCGAACTACCGTCTGGAGGTGAAAAAAGAATGGAGTAGAAAACACCTGGCACGACCTGTACGGTACGTCTAGCGTTACACCAGACACTTCGAGACACATGAATACACATACAAGTAAACTTACGCCCACTTACTATAGCTTCGCTCTCGGGACTAGCGTTCACGCTCGCTAAAAGGATGTCTGAAATTACCTGTGGGGCATCATCGATAGCAGGACTACGCGAAATGCTGGAGAATGAGTGGGTTTGCAGAATGAGGCTCGAAGTCAACGACAAGGGCCTTTACATCTTATGGCGCATTTCCCTGAAATTACAGAAAGAAGTACATGGATATTCGTGGAGATACGTAGCACGCAGACGAGGTGAGATCGGTGTCGATCGATTCGGCCAAATGGCATAAATTGTCCACGACGACACTATTTCAAGAAGGCTCATCGTAGCCTCAAACTGGACCTAGCAGTACCACCGGGCTGTCTATTTGGAGAATAGAGTCAATTAGGCACAGGTGGAAAGCAGCTCGTGCGGCATCGCAAATACGCGTAAAATTGCGCTATTTTAAAGATCCGTAAACAATACGTAACAGTCGCCCGAGCTTTCAGTATACATTATCCAGCGTGCTCAATAGTATCAAAACACCGTGAAAGCACCGTTTAAAAACACTCTATTACGATTAAAAAAAACAGTAACGTACGATATTATACCGCTATCCTATCTCCTTATCAGCCACTTGCAATAGCTAAACCCGATACAAAGGCCACACTACCCATGACGCTTGCACTTGTGCTGCTATTAGGGGCTTGCGTCCGCGGCTTCCTCTATGCCGTCCCCTCTCTGCATTCCACGCTTTCGCTTCGCCCTGAGCTAGTGACACCAACTTCCTCGTTCCACCGTATTCAGGAAGGTGTCTTCCTCTATGTCTCGACTGGTTCACCCTATTCGGGCGACGTCTTCCATCAGCCGCCGCTCGTATTCGCTTTATTCTATCCAGTGCTTCAATACGTACCTATGGCCCTCCAATACTTTATACGATGCGCTCTATTTATTTCGGTGGACTTGCTACTGGCCGTAGGGTTTGCCCGTCTATGTGCCAACACCCTTAAACTGGAAGAAGGACGGGTCTATAAAGTCAAGAACCAAGGGATTTGGCTCAGCCAAATACCCGTATCGCCTCTATTTCGACCAGAGACTTTATCGAAGACTGTCGCCTTTATTGCACTGCTGAACCCCTATTCCCTGGCTTCGAGTGTAGCCATGTCGACAGTGTCGTTCACCCATTTGGCAGTACTCTACAGTTTAGTCTTTGCTTCAGAAGGTGTTTTACGATGAAGGTTTCGATAATTTGGATGCTTTTTTCTCATCTTATACTAACTTTTTGCTACGTATTTGAATTGTTGTTAGGAGCTGTTGCTGCGTCCATGATGTGTGTGGCGTTGGGCACATACTTGTCTGTCTATCCATTTTTCATGATGCTGCCAATTGCGCTGCTACTACGCAGTGCTGTCATTGGAAAAGTGGGTGAAACATGATGTGCACTCGTGGAACGTTAAAGTGGCAAGCTGTATACATTAACGTGTAAATGTGTATAGGCTGGGAAGAGCCAAAAAGACTCTGGAATGTGGGTGACGCTCGCCTTGAAGTGCTTGGGAATGTTTGGTGCCTGGATGAGTCTGCTGTTTTACTTGTCCTATGAATTGAATGGAGGCTGGACTTTTTTGGAGGTTCGAGCTGCTATGGAAGTCCTGTAATGTCAATGAAAGTGATCACCGAATGTTTACTCCGTTGCTTGCTGTGCTAATGTAGGAAACATATGTGTGGGTCGCTAAGTATTCGGATTTGACCCCGAATGTCGGCATTTTCTGGTACCTCTTTATTGAGGTCTTCGATCGCTTCGTCCCGTATTTCCTCTTCGTACTGCACCTGCATCCTGTCATCTACGTTATCCCAATCTACCTCCGTCTGGCGTAAGTCTTCCTTGTTTTGCATATTTGTGTCTCATGGTGAAGCCTGCTAACGCTTGTAATTTCCTAAGAAATCGACCTCAAGCCTACGCTTGTGTGACATTCGGCATCTTCTCCCTCTTCCAGGCTTATCCCTCCTTTGGTGACTTTGGCTTTTTCCTCTCGATGATGGCGTTGCACCCGAAAACGATCATGAGTACGCGTGTCATGTGCGAGTGTATGTGCTATGGAATGTGTTCGTCAACTAACTGTGACTTCTTTATGCCTAGCGATCGAAAACAGGTTTGTCTACGTGATTGGCCTGGGCGCAGCGACGTACATGTTGCCCGTGATGTGGTTCTTGTGGCTCTACCCGGCCTCTGGCAACGCAAACTTTTTTTACAATCAGACGTTAGTCTACCAGATCTTCAGTTCCCAAATCATCACGGCGTTTGTGGGCGCGACGATGAAGCGCGACAAGGATGTGGACAAATATAGAGCAAGCGTGTTGAAGGAGCAGGAAAAGGCCGAAGGAGTTGAGATGCACAAGTAGTAGACGGTGTTGTGGATGAACAACATCATGTCTGTAATGGCTGGGTAATGTTGTACCAGTCTTATATTCACAATCTACACGCGGTAAAAGAATGCGGTTTCTTGCACCAACGATTACTGCATTAACTTCAGTTACATAGGGACAAACTACTAACAGACCCACATTTTACTATCTGCCCTACTCAATATGCCTGCCGTGCTTTGGTACGAGTAGACTGGCATCGACTTGCCATTGAGGTTAAGTAATTGGCAAATGACTTGGGTCAATACTAACTCCATGGTCGGACTATCAGAATTGACTGTAATCAATCGTGATGCGATAGATCTCAAACACGAATTGTAAAACAGACTGACAAATATCTATACCCCATAGTGGCTCTAGCTCGTTGTACTTGTCAACCTCTGTAGTACACCTGAGCGCGCCTACAATAAGTAATGCTTCACAAATAAACCCCAACGCGATTTTCAACACAACCAGCTTTGTAAGCTACGTGGTCCCATATGTATATCAATCTAGCACTAGCTTCTAGATGCTTTTCCATTTTGCTGCTTTATCGCCTTGCATCGACGTCCATGTTCAGACGTCCTTGCATACTGCGTTCAGACACAATCTCGCTTCTGCATTGATGTACGCGTTAATGATCTATTTAATCAGTAAAATAGATGCCGTCAGGGCAGAAAAGAATCCTTCGATACACGATGACAAAGACTGCTCAAAAATAAACCTTGACAGCCGCAGCATACCGTATGCTCCCTCTATCAATCAAAAAATTACAATGCAGACTGAAAGTCAAGACAGCAGTCAAACGTCTTCATCTTCAGCGCTTCTATCGTCGATCTTGAAATTCTTGTCGTGGTCGCAGCCAGGCTTGGCCACAACGTAGTATGTTGTTCCAAAGTGGAATCGACGTACTGACTCGACTTCGAGACCAGCCTGGTCAATGAGCTTCAAAATGTCGCGATTCCAGTGACAGCCCCACTTCTGAGCGTGCAAGTCTGCAAATTTGTCCAGAATTCCAGATATCCACGTGTAGCTGCTTTGGCCATGCTCCAGTAAAAGAATCCGACCGCCGTCCTTTTTGCACACCCGCTGCATCTCCCGTAACGTCTGGACTGAGTCGTCCATGCTACATAGTCCAAAAGTATCGACGACCGTGTCAAAATGATCGTCTGGAAATGCTAGCTTTTCGGCAGCCATGACACGAATTTGACAGCTTTTCAGTCGCTGCCGCTCTATTTTTGACACTTGGTCCAGCATCCCATAACTTGGGTCGGTCAAAATTACCTCTGAAGTAGCAGGATAAAACGCCAAGTTACGACCCGTGCCTGCTGCTACTTCTAATATTCGACCATGGGCCTTTTTTAGTAGAAACCGACGCATCAAGGAGATGCCCATAAAGCGCTCGTCCCAATCCACTTCTTTGTCGTATTTTGACGCGTTCGTGTCAAAAATGTGCACACGCATGGCGTCGTTTACACGTTGCGCGCTATTCGTGCTGCTTTCGCTTTTTCGGGGGTCGTAAAAAGTCACGTACGTGACAAACGTCACGCCAGCGTACAGCGCGGTGCCCCCTAGCAGTACTCCTGGTCGACGCCACATGTGTGGACTAATTGTCCGGCTATTAACTTATACGAGTGACGTTTTGACTGGTACATCATCTCCGCTTCGTTCAGTTTACTATTTTATCAGCATGCGTTTTCGCAGTGGACGAATCTGAGTAGATGCTGGTTTTTCTATCGAAGCGAGGTCGGTGATGCGACTTATAAAAGAGGTCATCCTACGGATTAATACACTGAATTGAATTCGTGCAGTGTTGTTACCTTCGCATAATGAATCGAATGACTCGATAGTCAACAAGCCAATTCAATTGCACAGTATACAAGTAGTCGTTCACACCCTGAACAAAGTAGCCACCCACGCATTGACTGCGAGTAAGCACATGTTGAGCACGCCCCACTACTTAATATCAACTAGTGCAGGCTGGCAATGGTACCTACTCATCCACCTATCACCATCATCCTATCTTTAGCCGAAAGACTTCCCACCGCGGGTATCGATTGAGGTGTCTCTCGTCCAGTGTTTGTGCTTAGCTACTAAACCAGTGAGATCGGTAGTTTATAGGAAGGACATCGTGTTCAAAATCGACTCGACATACATTAGCCCCATTGACGACAAAATGCCCATCGTTTAGACGTCACCGGGGCTGCGAGGCTAATGGTCTTATGGTTGAGGAGCCCAAAGGCGTATAATTGTTTTCGCTATTCTCTATTACAGTCACGTTGGATGCTGCCGGGTCTCATTTACCTATCATCAATTTTTCATTAGAGTACTTTTGATCAATAAAATTAGCAGCTTCAGGGGACCTATGCAACGCTCCATCTTGATGCATAAAATCGAGTCACAAAAGTGACGCTATTGCAGCACTCCCTTCGTGCATCACACGCATTTGTGCGGAAACCTGCTGATCTGCTTATATATGGGCTTTCCTGCTACTTTGCTGCATCTTCAGCAGCCCTATAAATTGTGCATTATTGCAAATGACGTGCCTTGCACGTGTATTCTTACTTCCTCCCCGAGCGAACCAGAACACAACGACATGCTGCAGTACATTTGCACGAGGTCGGCAAGCTGGTACAGTGTCATCTACAAATGACACGTGATGCGCATTGCCCACATTGTGTTCTTCGTTTGCGCAATATCGATGATACCGAAGCCGATGCTGTAATGCTACCGTAGAAACATCTCGTCGTGGTAAAGCGGACGCCGACACATAAGTGACACCAAGCACACCTTGTCAGCGGTGTTTTCACACTTGCTGGACAATACGGTCTAGGGATACTCGTGCTCAACTGGACTTCTCAGCTGCAAGACGGGCAACACGCTCGGTCTCGAGCATCAGCATTGCATTCCACGAGTCCTTGGAAATATTGCCTTCTCCTCGACTAAGCGCCATCAGACGAGCGAGGCGTAACCACCGGTGTAGATCGTCCAGCTGCAGTATACCAAACAGACGTTTGTCAGCATTTACTTATCCATACCACACTAGAGTCATCACTCGTAAGAACGTACCACCACTTTTTGCTGAGATTTGCGGCACTCCACGTAGTGCTTTTCAGCCATCTCGGCTTCTTCGTTTCGAATCGTGACAATAGACGAGCGTAAGACGCACAGGAATAAGCGAAAGCACTCGAATAGCTGATCCTCCGGTAGTGAAGACGACTGGATATTGGCAGTTGTACTGTTTGTACTGACAATAGGCACTGCCACAGTCACGGGTAGAATAGTGCTGCCCTCTGATACTGTGACAATTACCACGTCTTGCGAAAAATCCATGTCGTAGTACTGAAAATCGTACGGCAAGAGCATCTTCTCGACCAGCGACTGTAAAGCCGCGACGTTCTTGACGCCTTGATCGTTCAGCTGTCCCGCAGTCAGAGCGGTTTCATTCACCAGCATCGTCGTCCCATTTGCCACCTGTAGCACACCACTGACTAAAGCTTCTCGATCGTAGTCCTTGTACGGCTTATACCGGCTCGAATTAAGCTCCTCAAGCGACAAATCAACTTGCACCACCATGGGCATCAGCAGCACCAATGTCTCGTAAACACGTGCGATAAATTCCTGCTTTCGTTCATCCACCAACGACTTGTCAAGGGACAAATTAAGCGATAAATTACCCAGTGGTGTCGATGGATCAGCTCGTGAGTACACGTGCGACAGCAGACCCAGCAGCAGATACTCTGCTGCAAGCATGTCTCCACCTACTGCCAGCGTCAAGTAGTCCAGCAATTGTTTACGCATTGCAGCCACATCCATCTCGTGACCAAGTTTCGCCCACTCGTCACGACAAAAGGTGCTCCTCGAGTCATTACTGTGCTTGATCTGCTCGTAAAACTCTCTCGACTCATGAGGTCGCACGTACTGCACACTCTCCAAGCTGCTAACGTGGCAGCAGTGCAGCACGACACTGCCCTGGTCTTTTTTGCCCTGCACTTGTTCAATGCAGTCTGAGATCTGGAGCTCCTCAATTTGCTCGACACTCAGCACGTCCTTCCAAGCGTCTCCTTTGGTGCCTAAACTAGGCACCGTCAAGTCCAAGATACCGACAAACTCAAAAGCCTCATTGACTTTAAAGGCGTCAATTGGCACGTCCTTGTAGTGGCCGTCATAGACGTAGGCACTAATGGCCGGAGACGGCAGCCAATCGGTGGCCCCTTCGACCTTCTTCGGCACGTCCTCGTCCTTGTCCACTGCCTTGGTCTTCTTATTGTTCAGCTCGTCCGTCTTCTGTCCCACTCCATTGGTCACTGGCTCATTCACGGCGGCACTAGAGCGCTTTATGCCTTTTGAGAGTGCAAGACCTTCACTCTGCCTGCAACGACCATCACTCCGAGTGAGTTGTGGCACTTTACAATACGCCTGTTGTGTCCAGTCAGTCGCGTGGGGGAATATAGTGACAATGAGAGGCACTCGCTCGATCAAGTCCGTCGCGTCGGTGGGTGGACGTGTCTCACCGCCAAGTTGCACGAACTCGGGGTCCTGCACATCACGCACGAGACCGCGAAACTTGACCACGCTCCCGTCGCGGTATGCACCCAAGCGGAACGAGGTCTCGTCCAGAACGGGCGCGTCCGAGACGTCCTGCGCGGCGGCGGAGGAGAGGGACGAGAGGTCGAACATTGACATTATAAAGTTTTACAGGATTTGAACGATGAATTTTACAGTTGAGTGGTCGAACATGTCCTAGAATAGAAGACGTACATTTGTAGAGCAGCGGGTTGTAATTACGTTTGATGTAGCGTGGACTGTAAAACCTACCAAGAGAGTTTCTCTTAATCCGTTGGTTGTTTATAAGATATCACATAGCATGCAGCTGATCATCGGATACTGCTGTACATCTTCTTACGTGCAGGACAAAAAGCCAGTGAGCACTTAGATCGTGGTCAGTTTACACTGCTTATGCATGATACACTGCGTCTCACTGATCAAAGAGCTCATGCGATTCTCGCGGATAAGGTACCTCTAGGACGTCATGTTAGAAGTCAATACACAAAGGTAGAGACAGAGGACACACAATTAAATGCAAAAGAGAGAGTGTTATTAGTTTCGTTATCTCCTGGCTAGCTATCAAATCCTTTCTGCAGAAGAAATCATAAAATGAAACTCCCACAGTTGCTCGGCGCAAAGATGATATCAAAAGTGATACTGGTACCACTTTCTTGGTACATCAACTTGAAGCTTGCCTTTCAACACTCCTCCTCGTCGACACTGTCCTGACAAAACACTTGATCCTTGCTCTGTCATCGTCGACTCCGATCGATTAGTTTAAACCGATCACTTGACGCATCTCGACCAATCTCGGTGCAGCCAATGCCTTCGTTAGTATGTCCGCAGTCATACTCGAAGTTTCTCGATATTCAGGCTTTATGATTCCTCGCTTCGCGAAATCACCGACAAACTTGATGCGCACATCAATGCGTTTGGCCTTAGCCGAAGCTCTCTCACCGTCAAGTTGTTTCAAAGCCGCTTGGTTATCCACTCGCAGTGGTATAGGCTCTTCAAATCTCAAATCTAACTCTTGCAACAGTTCGCGAATGCCCAAAAGTTCTCGAGCCATAATGGATGCAGCTGTAAACTCAGCCTCCATGGTCGAAAGTGATACACCGCCTTGCTTCTTGCACATCCAGCTCACTGGCATGCCATCAATCGTAATTAAACCACCCGTGACAGATTTTCTGTCACCTTTGTCGGCAGCGAAATCCGCATCACTGTACCCAACCACTTGTAACAGCTCTGGTTCATCTTCTCTTCCAATCATAGAAAGTCGCAATGTCTTCGTGCCAGATATGTACCTTGCAATTTTCTTGGCCAACTTATAATCTCCCATCGTGGGCTTATGAGTCCTTCTTGACGCTTTATGCACCGCGAAAGCGATATCTGGTCTGGTGCAACGCGAAATCCATAGTAAACTTCCCACAAGTGACTGGAAAACTTTCACCGTAACCACACCATCTCCTCCAAATACCGGTAACGGCACAGCTACCGATTCTTCATTAACGTTCCAGTCTTGAGTAATTGGAACACGCACGCTATGTCCCATTTCGAGACCATGCTCCTTCAGCATGTCCATAATTCCAACTTCTTGATCAAAAGTGTACCCATTTTCGTCATTGTATTGAATACGCATACCCAAAAACTTGCGAGCACATCCAAGATCCTTGACCGATAGTGAATTGAGCTCATCAAAAAAAGAATTCACAGAACCCTGATCACTTCCTGTTACCAGAAGGTCATCCACGTAAACTCCAACAATCAATAGATGACCATGTGTCCATCTAAAGTAGACACACGTGTCCGTGAGACTTTGTTTAAAACCAATATCAACCAATTTCTGGTGTAGCAATTTACTCCATAGTCTTCCTGCTTGTTTTAATCCATATAGTGCCTTCTTCAGCTCCAAAACAATCTCGTTGTTCTGTGAAACACCGATCTTCTTCTTTAAGTCCTCTGCAATCTGCATTCCCTGTGGTACGTGGATGTAGATATCGAGATTATCTTCCTTGTCTGCTTTAACGTAAGCATTTGGAACATCTCCATGCTTCGCAGGCACCTTCCACTTTCTTGCCAGTGCGAAAATCATCTTCACGCTGGACATATCAATCACAGCAGCAAACGTAACTCCATAGTTCACTCCAAAGACTTGTTCATTTCCACACGCGACCAATCTCGCCTTCAATCTCTCGATGCCACCTTCTGCGTCACGCTTCGTCTTAAAAACCCACTTCGAGTGAAGTGCTCGAATATCTTTTTGGAGCCTTCACAATACTCCAAACTCCATTGTTCTCCAAGGCTTGCAATTCTTCAGAAATTGCCTTCATCCATCCTTCCTTGTGACTGCTACGCATAGCTTCACCAAAGTTTCTCGGGTCAGATGTTGTGACAACATTGACAACGTCAGTATCCATGGCTGAACTCTCAGTTCTTTGTCCCTGGCTTGACCGTTTATTCTTGCTCGCCGATCTTGTCACAACCTTCTTCTTTCTTGTCCACGGAGTCCTTTTCTCCATATTCTGTGTCTGGTCCTTACGACTCGTCGCCTCCTCCAGATCTTGATATCTGGTATTACCTCCCTCCTGAACTTGATCTCGCGCGGAGTCATTATCTTCCAGACTAGTAGGATTCTGCAGATACAATTCTTGAACTTGCTTGTTCTGGGTCTTGTTCAGTGTCTCAATATTTTGAACATGCTGCGAGACAACAACCACTTTATCCTTCGGCAGGTATACACGATACCCTTTGGTTTCTTCACCAATGCCAATGATAATCCCTTTTTGTCCTCTAGGAGCAAAATTCTTCTTCTTAGGATCTCTGTACACTGTACATGGTGATCCAAAAACGACAATTTCACCTAGCGACGGAGTCTGGTCCGTCAGCACCTTCATCGGTGACATTCGCTCAGCATTCGAATTTGTAGGGGCCCGGTTCAAAATATAAGCAGCATATTCAACCGCGTCACCCCAGAAATTGAGTGGCAATCCTGACGCAAATATCATGCAACGGGCCATATTCATGATGGTCCGATGCATGCGCTCAGCCTTTCCATTGCTGGCTTGGTTTCTTGCTTCACTTCGCTGTCTTGCAACGCCCGACTTCTTGCAGAATAAATCTACATTCTGGTACTCTCCTCCTGAGTCCGTGCGAAGAACGTGCACACGACAATTAAATTTTTTCTCGAAAAAATCAGAAAATCTTTAAATTTCTTTGCTGCAGCGTCTTTAGTGCGAGCAAGAAATACACGACAATAATTGCTCTTATGATCAACGAAGTTGATCATATAGCGATTATTTAGCCGATCCTTTGGAGTCATCGGGCCCTTGATGTCCGAACAAATAACACCTCCAACCCTGTCAATAGGTGAGTGTTGCCCAGAGTCGTGCCTTTGCTGTTTGTTCTTGGTCTGTTTGCCTTGTGAGCAAGTGTAACAAAAGTCGCGACGCTTGTCCGTAAGCAAAAATTCACAATAAGGATCTTTAGCCAATTTTATTATCGTTTCGTAGTTTAAATGGCCAAAACGCTTGTGAAAGTCCATTAAACTGCCTTTTTGGACAGCGGAAGACACTTGGACACTTGCTTCTTCACCCAAGACCGCCATAATTACTCCAACCGGTTCAACATCGTTATCCATCACTCGACACGGCACCACAAGAACGTCACCAACCAATTGAACATCAAAAGCCACAGCTCCAGTAACTGTATTGGATATAACACGTTGAGTTCCATTGTATCCAAGTGTGTAACCCTTTCGGTCCAAGATTCCATACGAAATTAAATTATGCTTCACACCCTCAGCAAAGTATACATCTGTAAGAGTCAGCACACGCTCAACTCCACAAGCCAAGACGTTAATTGTCACAGTGCCTCTTTTTGCTTATAAGAAGCGGCTGTCCATCGGGTTGATGACAAACCCCTTCACACGACTCAACGTTGTGAAGCCACGACTCATCACTGACCAAGTGTCTACTGGATCCGCTATGTAGATGATGAAACGTCGCATCTCGCACCGAAACACCTCAGCCAGCAACAGTCGCATTCGTCTGTCGGTCGCGTTTCGAGGCTCATTCTCGGCTGATGTCAACAGGTGTGCGTTTCTTTCACAACCGACACCGGGTGCAACAGAAGTTCATCTCACAGAAAACGGTAAACCTGCTTTTGATTCGATACGATTGACTCGAAGAGGCCCGTTTCAGCTTGCACGTCTGCTTTTGCTTTTATCATTCTGCAACTTGCCAAGACTTCCCAGCTTTCCTCACCACCTTCACTCTAAGATGAAACTCTCCGGCACCTCTCTCTTTGCGGTCACAGCTACCGCGACGATCTGTGTACAGCAACGCGGATACCCGTCCGAACGAACTTCTTGATGGACTTGACGTGCTTTCTCATATCCTACACGGAATGGGGACAGTCAGGTGTATGTCGAAGATGATGGACACAACCACCACCACCACCACTTCGACCACTGGGACCACTTCGACCACCACGAGAAGGTGACTACTAGGCCTTCGGCTCAGACCCATCTGCCAAGCTTTTCATGCGATCAAAGTCTCGGCGACCGCGATGACATTGAACGGAGTTGATGACGCGGAGTAAGCTGTCCTGAACCTCTCCCACGGATCGACTGTATCTGTTCAAACCGTTTAAACGCATGGGGCGTGGATCTAACTAGAGTTCGTGAAGGGTAACGCGACATCCAATAGTAGCCAACCTTCAACTCGTTCAAAAATCAATTCTGACTTTCTTTATCCATTGACTTCTGCTTTAACTCTCGTGTAGCAATCATCTATCGCAAAAGACAGTTACGCTTATGTGCTAGAGCCGACACATGAGGCTCACCTTGGGCTACTGTATTGCCAATCTATCTATCTATCTATCTATCTATCTAATATCTATCCTATCTATCTATCCTATCTATCCTATCTATCTATCTATCTATCTATCTATATCTATCTCATCTGGGTAATCTTTTCTAGCCATTTGTTCCACAAGGAAATAAATCAGAGTTCCGACGACAATATCGGTGAGCGAGCCAGCATCCACGTGAGTCCTGCTGTATGATGCGCTAAGCATTGCAGGTTTCATTCGAATGTGCGGCTTGAAGACGAGCGGATCGAAATACGGATCACGGGATGTTGCATGTACCCATGTCCTCCAGCTTGGGGCAACATATCAGGAATTCCAAGTCCTGGTGCAACTTGACCGCAAACGTCCTGGCTGGGTCCATTATATTCGGGCTGTCCAGCGCCAAACGACATCTGCCCTTCAACCGGTCTCCTCGGAGTAAATACCGGCGCATCATTGGACCCTTCCAAGTTGTCCATGTGCGTTCTTGTTCCACTTCCCAAAGCCGAAACAAACAAACTTGAATGTCTAGGCGGAGTCATAGGCGCGTCCCTATGTCTTCCACGCCCTTCCTCAGCTTTTATCAACCTTGTCTGTGACTCCTCAAGCCTATCCAGACGTCCGGTTATTCCTCTCATCAACACCAGGAGTTCTGACGCGTCGTCACTCCTGGTGACAGCATTGTCCACCGCATGGACAACACCTTGCTTGCTCTTCTCTTCATAATCTTCATGCTCACTGACCCTTTCGTGACCAGTGGCAGGGGCTGCTTCCGCATACGCGCCGTCGCGCGTGTCACCCCTGAGTGCCCCGTGCTTTGGGCTCATAACCTGTTAGAAGTCAATACACAAAGGTAGAGACAGAGGACACACAATTAAATGCAATAGAGAGAGTGTTTTTAGTTTCGTTATCTCCTGGCTAGCTATCAAATCCTTTCTGCAGAAGAAATCATAAAATTAAACTCCCACAGTTGCTCGGCGCAAAGATGATATCAAAAGTGATACTGGTACCACTTTCTTGGTACATCAACTTGAAGCTTGCCTTTCAACACGTCAAATCTAGCGATGGCTGGTTCGAAAATTAAATCCAAGGTGTGCCATCAACCGACTTCGTTTGATCGTCACGAATTGCTTATGCTTGTCCAACAGTAAGATGCTGCGCAATCCCTCATCTGTAATGTTGACTCGTTTATCAGCGTCCACTCATCTCGTGGTTCATGTGTGGAAGGTCAATCGACCGACGGTCATGACTTTTCATCGTGTGCAACATTCAAGTGCTATCAAAGAACACATTTCGCAAAACATAGCCAGCGTTGGGCGACTGCTTTCCAACTTCGACTAAAAACTAATGTGGTAGCACCCATCGCATCGTGTTCTAGCAAATTCGCACAATCTCTTGCTCGAATACCTTATTGCCAGAAAGGACTTGTATATGATGAGTCATGTCTGGACTAGTCAGCGCTTCGTGTTAACGTAAGAAACATTCTTGTTATGCTCACCGTGTGGTGGCAAACCGTGCCACATCATGTTGTAGGTGCTTTACTCTGCTGGTTGCCACAGGTCGGGGGCTGAGAAGTCGGTCATAGGTATCACCGTATCTTCTTATTGCACAATCATCGATTGGAGGAAGGGGCAGTGATAAATGTACACCACTTCTGCTTCGACCGTGATTTATTCGAGCAGGCGTGCTAGCTCGAACAAAGTAGTGGACGCCAGGATGGAGCCTTCGAAGGAAAGGCGTGGAAGCGCAATACACTAGTGGTAGGATAATGCGATAGGGCTCGAAAACGAAGTCTCAAAAAAGCTGGATGATTAAAGAGGTTACACATCGTAGGGTACTCGGGACCCTGTGTCTTATACACACGGGTTGGTATCTTAATGGAAGAGACACATAACATCTGGTCGGTTAACAGAAGCTGAAGGGTGTCAGCCTCAAGATAGGAAGATCTTGAAGACGTAAGTTTAAGACATTGTCTATTTAAAAAATATTAGTTATTTATTTTAATAAGAGTGGTATTTCAAAAATATCTAAACAATTTACTAGCGTAAAAGTCTTAACGTGAGTGCCTAGATTAGAAATACTATATTTAAGATATTCTGTAGTTAAACGTAAAAAAATTTTAGTTCCCGTTTTGCTCTTGTTTAAGACACGTGCCTTGCGAGGCGTCTCTGATCGTAGATCGCTAAGAGTTAGCAACACGTTCCTGAGGTAAATAATCTTGAGCGCTAAGTGCTGTAGGTTCACTGAATCGTTCGGTCCCCTAAAAAACATAAACCTTAATCTTTACGCTTGTTGAATCATAGAGTCTAGTGCCTTCGATTTCATTTTTCTCGTTGAGCACTAAGTCTTCCTCTGATTTAAGGAGCTGTGAAGCTCTGCTACACTTGGTAACACTTGGTAACACTTGCAGTCAATCTAAGCCTGAGTCTTTAAGGACTGATCCTATGTGAAGATGAACAGCCCCATCCCCCCTTTCTGAGGTATTTAAGGTCGCGCATGATAATCTAGCTGATCGCATCTTAGGTTCCAGCGTATGTGGATCGTATAGCAAGGCCAGGAGGTGCTAAATGCACGTGTTGAAATCTTCTTGCAGTATGAAGCGTCCCTTCTAGGGCAGGTCCAAGACCAAATGGCTTCGGCTATGCCTACACGCTAGGTGTCTGTTCCAGACGAAGAGGCTGGGCCTCCTCCACGTTTTAGAGTGGGAGTTAAAAACAACTTAGGAAAGGAGGATGAAAACCTCATCTTCCTGATCTGTGAGATTGAGATGGCCATGGAATCAGGCCTGATCAAGCTTGACCATCAACAGGTCTCACCGGCTATCTCAAAGCTCGATGGAAGAGCTAGAGCATGGGCTTTGACGTGTAGCACGTCGGTCGACACAGCGTTTCCCACATGAAAGTTCCTTAAGTCACAGTTGGCTCAGGTGTTTTTACCACCTAATCAGGCTTACCTCGTGCGTTCACGCTTTTTATAAACCCGTCAGGGTAAGAATGGATAATGGACTATGTCAAAGAGCTGAAAACTCTTATGGCTGCTATTCAGTCTGAACTTCTTTCTGAGACAGTCCATGTGACTTTATTCATGGAGGGTCTCCGTACTGGCATTGCCCGAACCGAAGTCGTCTGGGTTTACTTCTCTAAATTCGGAAAGGCTGTGAGAATCGCTCTTGATG